GGCGTTGAGAGTGTACATACCCTCAATGGCCGAGAGGGTTTCTCCCTCTTGGCTGTTGAGAATGTGGTCTTGCGGCCGGGAGGCATCCTCCCGGCCGCTGCCGTGGGGTGGGTGGGGGTTGATTTGGTTTATCGACCCCCAAACCCTGGTCAGTTTGGGAGGATCGACTCCCAAACCAACTGGGGGTTTTTATTTTTTTTTATTAAATTCTTAGGGAGTCGACTCCCAAACCGGTCAACGTTTTTGGGGGATCGACTCCCTAATTTCGGGGGTTTCGGGGTTTGGGAGTTGACTCTCCAATTTTGGGGAGTCGATTAACCAAGCCCCTATAATAATAATAATATTTTTTTCCTTTTAAGTAAGAGGAAAGAAAAATAAATAGTAAAGAAATAGTTTGATGATTAGTTAACATCAATGCTAATAATAATAAAGTGATCAAACAAGAACTTTACTTGATTGATTTATATAATTGCCTTGTACGGCAAATCGCTTTGCGTTATTAACTGAGGAATCTAAATAATGATATAAAGTATTTTATCACTTTAGTTTTCCTTTTATTATTTCTCTTTCATTATATGAAAGGCTATAATGTTTCCTAACCAAATACAGGTGGAAAAATTCGGTCGGCCAATTTGATCATTTCGGCATTTGTGACTTGAGAGCTAGAATGAGGAGATGGTTCCACAAGGAAAAGAGATTGTGATCGTTTAGGATTCAACATCATCTTTTTCTCTAATCATTATCATCAAAACTCACCTAGAGTTCAATGAAATGTTCATCTTGTCACCTAGATTCATGACGTCATTGATGTCATGATTCAATTCACAAGCCTTACGCTTGGCATACTCTTGCTCATCTAGTGAGCAGCTGTTATCTGTACATGATCAAAATAACATGATCAGTAAGATTTAGTTTTCTAGATAGTTTGATAACTAAGGTTATCAACCTACCCGCAATTCTCCTTTTACAAGGGCTGACGCAAGGAGCGTAATTCCAACAATTTTGTGGGGAGTTGTCCTCCAGGGGTTTGTTAACCTGGACAGATGCATTTGACAACAGTAGGCTAGCAAACCCGGACCTCCCACCCGGGTTTCGTAACCTAAAATTTGAACAGACCAATGTGAATGCTCTTAAACTGTTTTGCTTAAATTGTGCGCGGGACTCTGCCAAAATTTTAATGAGATCTCATTAAGTGCTGCTTGTTGCACAAATTTTATTTGTGAACAAGCAGCTACGTGAACCAGCTATTATTTTTTAATTTTTGAACACCATAAGGGCCTGCTCAACAGACAGAGAGAATTTTCATTTACTTCTTGGAATCCACAGTGACCTGGTTATAGACAGTCAAGCCCTTCTTGTGTGATATCAGCCTGTTATGAGCTGTTCAGGACTGGAACTGGGGATGTTACATATGTGCATAGTCTGTTACGTACATGTCACAAACTTTGAACTTGGATCTTTGTTTGAGATCCACACCTTGTACAGTATCCTCCCAGATGTTTATGTCTGGGGGTGAACTGTCACAAGTTGACTTGCACCCGTGCACTAAACTGCAGTGTGCGGGTGCAAGTTGATCTCTTCATCGTGGGCAAACAACCAATCACAGGACTTTGATCATTGACAATTGATCTTGAAACAACTTCAATAGACCTGGAACAAACTTGGTTGATCTTGGCCTCAGGACAAATTTGATTGGAATCAGACATTAGTCTGTATTTCTACTGTTTTTTTGTTTTTTCTTCTTTTTTTCTTTTTCTGATTTTTGCTTCCTTTCGGAACAGGATTGTTTTGATGAGAAATATCCAAGGACAGCCCAACCTCACGACCGAGCAGAAGGCTTGCATCGCTGGAATTGTTGAAGCCGGGATGTCTCATGGGCAAGTCGTGAGAATAGTGGGCTCCGGACAAATAACAGTCTCTTCAATTGTTTCACGGGCTTGGACTCGGTCCCTCATCTCAGCTACCCTCCCCAGATGATTTTGTATTTTTAAAAAAATTATTAAAGAAAATAAAAAAGTTGAATGATGCTTTTATTTTTTTCAAATGTAATGGATTTTGCTTTTTGTTTTTTTTTGTTTCATATTCCTTTTTATCATCCCCCTATCCACCATGTTGAGCTATCTATGTAGTACTGTAGTTTCCATAGCTGCTACTATTTTGTGCTTCTTTCTCTTTTTCATTTCTCACATGTCACACCCTGTGGCATTCACCGTGTTTTCATTTCTCTCTTATACTGGAGACAACCGAGTTGGAAAGGATCTCCTTTTCTTCATCCTTTCCAACTGCACTGTCTCCAGGTTAGTCTTTTCTCTTTTCTCTCTTTCTTCTTTTCTCTTGGTGAAATGACATGTCATCCTTTCCAACTCCACTGTCTCCAGGGTGTCTATTTCAACACACCACTCCCCAAAAACTCAGAAATTCATGTGTGATAGTTTTTTTTTAAATAAAGTAATTGATGTGTCATAAACAACTGGGAGGATACTGTACATACATCCCTCATCTTGCAATTTACCATCAAGAACCAGAACCCTGAAGATCATCACCTGCTCTCCCCAGAACACCCCTAACATACTGCAAGATACTTACATGGAGACCAGGACAGAAAGTGTCAGAAACACCCAGAACACCACCCCTTGAACCTTGAAAGCATCCTCAATTAGGATGCCACATGGAACCAGAAGATGATCAATACTACCCAGCCTGGTCTTGTGGAGGTGAGATTTCTAGGCTCATTTGCCAGCAAAAAATTCTCAACACCCACAGGTACCCGCCCTGGCAGGTGCACGTGCGCGTGTCCACAATATTGTATATTTCAGTTGGGTACCTGCACCAGCACCTGCTCTGGGTCCCCGGGTATGAAGTGACATCTCTAGTACGGAAGCCAGATTTTCAGTGACAATCCCAAAACAAATTTTGGTTGGTGAAAAATAAAAATATCAAAAATGAATATGAAAATTGGCTGGGGTGCTATGGTACAGCTTATGAGCATTGAGATGGGTTGCATCTTGGTGCACAGTTCTGATTTTTTTTAGTCTTTGATTCCTACCCAAATCATGTGATTTCACAGGAATTCCACTTATGTTTTAATTAACATAAGTCTAGAATATGATGGTTTCCCAGTCCACTGAGCATAATCCATTCTAAGTGGAAGTCCAAAAAACAGATAAGCATTTAAGTTTCCCTTATAGTTAAAAAGAGGTTTAGGATAGTACTAGAGATATCAGGGGCAGACTTCTGTTCATTCACCCGACAAACATGATGGTGTGCAAGTGGGCAATTTATCTATCAAGAGGATTTGTCAACGATGGCTGTCAATTTGGCTTGTTTACAAAGGAATATGGGGTGACTGGGGTCCTGGTGGGAATTATAACTGAGATGGGGTAGACTAGGAAGAACTCCCTTTTAGTCTAAATATGTAGACAGCATAAGGGGTAGAGGTGGCGCTCAGTTGCGTAGGAATAGGTGGTTGAAGTGTTGAAAAGGGGTGAACTTGTCGTCGAAGCGGCTCCCTGTCAACAAAACTTACAAAAGCTGTCGCCGACCGGTGAACTTTCCATGTCACCACCACCCTACTATTGGCCATCCCACTCCACGGCACCAATCACCGCCCACTTGACACCATCGTTTCCGGTTGATGACGCTAGTGAACCAACGCCGACTCAATAGTCCCGATGGCAACTGTCAACCTCGCCCACTCCCAAGTTTTAACTCGCTCCAGGACCCTCCTCTTCTTGTCGTTTCGTGATACTCGATCTTCCTCAGTTTATCCACCACGGCTCTCCCGATCTAAGGGCAAACAGCGGCAAACAGACGATGTTGAGCAAGAGGCCCTCTTGTACAAGGACGATGATACTACAGCTATAGACGTGGATGACTCAAGTGTTCTTCCGCCTCGATGGTAAACGTTTCTCGGTCACGTCCTTACGTCCCTCGTTGATATTCACCTCGTTTTTTATCTGCTACAGGGTTGATTTTGTTGAGGAAGTGGAGGAGCTCGTCGACCAGATTAGGCCGAAAAGTGTGTACAAGCCTTTCTTTCATCATTCCCTGACTGAATTGAATGCGGTAATTGATAATATCGTAGTGGTCCAGCTCGACAAATTGACTGCAAAGCATGTCCTTCCGGGTTTTACGGATCGATCATTTGAAGAACGTCAGATTGAGGAGCTAACTACTGAAATTACACAGGTATGGCCTCTACATAGCAGTCATGTAAATCTGAATATTCAGCTTGGTGTTGACACTCAGGTCTTTGATCATTGAAGGGATTTCGTAAATGTCAACTGCTAATACGAAAAATTGCAGACTGTGGTCAAGAAATCGAGGCATACATTAACCGCTCTAGAGCTCAGAAGTCACCCACTGGAAAATCAAAGTACACCAGCCGAGATGTTACGCTCGTCAAAAATGCTCAAATCGCTGCTGCAACCAAGGTGCAAAGCCTCAGTTCTTTGTTTCAAAAGCGGCAACGTGTTTATCTTCAACGTCGGTCTCCTATGATAATTTTTTTTATCAAGTCTGTAGTTATTCTTTACTGATCGGTTGATTTTATGGTACCTCCTTGTTCAATCCCATCAGAGCTGAAAGGTTACGAAAAACCGTCACAAAATGAGAGCAAGGCACTGTTCGCAATTGAAGATGATACCAATGAGTCGTCTTCTCTTCACAACGGGTTTAGCCAAGGAAACGAGCCACGCCAACATCAGGAGCAGCTTCACTCACGCCAATCGGTCCATCATGGAGTAAATCAAGACATCGAGCAAAGAGCCAAGGAGATTGATGGGATTGCTAAGTCGATTTCTGAGCTCGCGGATATGTTCAAAGACCTGGGGAACCTGGTTCTTGATCAGGGCACTTTACTTGATCGGATTGATTATAACGTCGAGCAAATGAGTACTGATATCCGAGGTGCAGCCCAAGAACTCAAAACAGCTACTCAGTAGGTTGCTCAGCACTCATTTGGCCTTCGACTCTATGCTGATAGCTATTTGGACTGAACCATTTATTCCACAGACATCAGAAACGGTCAGGGAAATGTCGTGTGATATTTTTGCTGGTTCTCCTTGTTTTTGCTGCAGTGTTGATACTTGTATACAAACCCCGACATTCTGATCCTAATCAAGACAACCCAGTGTCTGGTTCTGGCACACTGGATTCTTCAAGTCAATCGAAGACGAGCTCGCCTACGACCAGCCTGCGTCCTCGCTCCAATGTGCTCACGACTTCAACTGGTCGAGACAGGCAATACCGTGGTGGATGGAAATCTTGCTGAATTATTATGTCGTTGATGTCATAGATAGATGTGATAGATGTTTCCTCTCGATCTGAGCTAGATCTGTTTTCATGTGGTTTGTACAATCTTTACTGTTATATCAAGTCTCGACGCTGCAGAATGGATTTCGGATAGAGAATGCTACAACTCAGAAACCCAACCAAACAATGGGAATTTTATGAAGTAAAGCATCCAGGGACTGGTAAGAGTCAATCATCGTAGCTTGTTGACCATTCATGCGTGTCCCTTCATCATGACATCATCATTGTCAACACTGGGCTGAGTAAGATCAGCAGCAGGTGGACGATCGCAGGACCCAGGAAACCCTCTGTAGATGTCAGTAACCTAAAATCCCAGATTTTCAGAAAATTCATACATTTTTGGGACTCATTCATACACGTTTCGTGCCTAGGCTCAGAGGTCAGCCAAAAATTTCATACAATTTTCGTGCCTAACATTTTTTTTGGCTGGAGGCTAGAATTTTGTATATTTTTTGTCTACACCATTTTTTCCTGCCAGGAAGCACATAGCCAAACTTTCTTTACAGCTAGTCATTCCTGCTATCAACTTGGGCTTTGAAAAATGAAAAAAAAAAAATCAAGAAATATTTGCCATTGCATACAGTATGTAGTGGGAGGAACTTAATAATTACTAACTATCATCAGCTTTTTCTTTTTGAGAGATTTGATTCTTAGGAATTCTTTTTGCCAAAAACTGACAGGGGGGTTAAAAAAACCTGATGGGGGTGTTAAAAAATCTTCAAGGGGGGTGACATGATGGGTCACTGGGAGGGGGGGGGGGCTGCAAAAAAGAAATAATAATGATAATAATAACAAATCATACATTTTTGGTTACTAACCTACATTGTTCCCCAAAAATTCCATACATTTCAGGTGAGTAACATTTTGCCCAAAGAGGCCCATTCATACATTTTTGGTGAGTATCATTTTGGGTTTTTGCCAAAAAATTCATACATTTTGGTTACTGACATTTATAGGGGGTTTCCTGGGTCCTACGATCGCACGGGTCTAATCGATGACATCACCCCCTGTTGCATCTTCAATCAGGACGATCATCTCATCTGGCTTATCCTAATTCAAACTTGGCTTATGATTCTTTCGCGTCAGTCGTCCTGGGCTGTGCATGGTGATGGTCCCCTCTTTATAAGCACCATTGACACGAGAAAAAGAGTCCTTCTGTTTCTCCCCCTTGACCATCCACCATCACCCATCGCAGTATCCTTTCCGTCGATCACTTGAGCTGTTTTTGATAGAAACATACAAGAATATGGCTACGGGAGACTCAGTCGACCATCGCAACTGGTCAGAAACTGCAGTGTTCCGGCTGGCAAAATATTCTAGATCCATCGCCCGGCCCGATCAGTCGTCCGAGGCTCAACCGTCCGTTTCCCCCGTGGCCCGGCCAACCGCTCCACTCGAATGGAGTCACTTGTGCGTTTGTCTCCTGGCAATGTCAATGTCCCATCGTCCTTCGCATACATGATAATCATTGGATTTTTAATTCAGCACGCAGACTGGTCTGTCTCTGATCGTCGAGACGGTTCACGTGGATTCAAAGCAGAACAATCGTATTGGAACTCGCCATCAACAGATTATATTAAAAATCATATGGGATAACAATCCCTCATCGCAGAATGGAAACTTGGACGCTACTGGTTCGACTGACCGAGCTGGGGTTTTCTTACTTGTGAATAACTCTTACTTCAAGTAGTCAAAACAATACAGTCTTGCTTTTGCTGAAATAGTGTACATGTGCCCATAGGACAAAGTCAATCTGACTGAAGTCCAAAGGACATTTGGCCACTCGAAACAGGTAGATGAAAGTCCGCTGAAAGCAAATTGTAAGGACTGCGTGGTTGGACTCCGTTACGCTACCGGGTATTCAGATAGCTCAGTGAATAAATTTGAATCCGTAACACTTGTCGAATAAATTTGAAAGGCTGATCCCGGGGGAAACCATTCGCTTTCACTATCCACCAGTTCACCTTCAATCGTATCCAATTTAAACTTCAAACACCCGCTGATTCTATCAGATTCATAGGAATCATTGAAACGATTTGTCCTTGCAAAATTAGTAGCGGAATGCAGAACTCGCAATCTTCTAGGAGCAATGCCTACCAACTTCCGGTCCACCTAAACCCTCCCGGGCTGGGTCACTCTTTTTCTCAGCCACCAATCGAGATCAGTACCAGCATTATGGAGTCACAAGACTTTTGCAATCAGACTCAGCTTTCAGAATCTTCACCGCCTTCCAGGAAAATCATTTGCCAACCTCCGACCAACACCAGCTCCACTCGTGTCGGTCATTCAATCCCGCCACTAATCGCAATCGATACCAACACTATCGATTCACAAGGCTTGGGTAACGAGGTGGAGCACTTAGAACCGGTCACCAGTGCTCAATCAGATCTTGTAACATTGCAGTCATTGCATCCAGATAGCCAGACCCGAACATTTCCTGCGCTAGCTTCATTCGAAAGCCGGCATACTTTGCCCGAGGACTTGAACAGCTTATCAGATGAAAATTTGATGGAGTATATGCGCGAAATTGTGATGGAGCCTGGGTTTGATAGCTTTGTACATCGGGTCAAAAGATTGATGTGAATGAACCATGACCGCGCCTCTGTCTACCTTGTATCTCGCAGTGAAACTCTCAATTGGACGTTGATAGAATACGGCACACATTCACAGAGCTTACATATAAGCTAAGGTGTATTGCATGTTCAATTTGCTTGCATGTCATTTAGCTCTGCTGAAAAACTATTATCTGTGACTCGCATGTCTTGCAGCTCGCCAATGGTTTGCATGTGAGGATAGGAATTAACCGCAAAAGACCCAAGAATTGGAATATTTTCTGAGACAAAGTAACTGACGCGCACGGATATGAAGTAATGGAGGTAAGATACATGGAGTTATCAAGTGCGGGGGACGATGCAGATGTCCAACAAAATTCCGCCATGAAAAAACGTTTCAAAGCTTGTGGTGATTTTCTGCGTCGATGACCACTACCACTTTTCCAAATTGTTGTCCCGCCTTCATAATCTGAAAACCATCTTCGACCTGCTCGAAGCCTCGTAGAATCTTGTACACGACAGGTTCGATATTGTGTTTGTGTACGAACTCGACCATTTCTTTGAACTCTTTCAATGATCCCATCGTAGATCCACGAAGCTCCAAATTCTTTAGAACTTCTGACATCGTGAAAGAAAGTGGACGTCCGGAAGTACTAGAAGGGAAGATGTTGCGACCATCAAGTAAATCATTGCTGTTAAGTAAATTAGGTTGAGATCATTCAGCCACCCAAATTTGTCTTACCAGCCAAAGTTCACAATTATTCCACCAGGGCGTAAGATTTTGCTACATTTTTGAGCGATGTCACCTCCTCCCGAGTCTATCACCACGTCAAGGAATGGGGTTTCGGTTGGAAGTAAAGAAGACAAACGCCCGGGCCAGGAATCTGAGAAATGAGAAATATATTAGTTAATCCTGTCGGTGTCTTGGTTATGATCGGACTGATTGTGTAAGTAGAATTAGAAGTCCTTACAAACCTTCTTTGTAGTTTACCCCAGCCTTGGCACCCAATCGACACGCATGATTTATTTTTTCCTCACTGCTACTCGTTACCCAAACGTTTGCGCCGATAGCAACGCAGAACTGCAAAGCCCAGATTGCAACACCGCCACCGATCCCAGTGACCAATACATTGGAGGATGGTTTGACCTGAGCTTTATTGAAAACAGCTCTGAAGGCAGTGAGGCCAGCCAAAGGTACTGCCGAGGCGGACAGCGCATTTAGATGACTAGGGGATGGAACGCAATGGTTGGCCGGGATGTTGATGAACTCGGTGAAGGTGCCAACGCCGTTTGTTTCGTGGGTACCCCCAAGTATTCCGAATGCTTTCCCGGGAACATCCGGACCGCGAGGATCGTTGGTCCAATTTACGGCTGGGTAGACTAAGACATCTTTCCCGCAAAAATGATGATCACTGGGAGATATTACGGTGCCAAAACAGTCGGAGCCTAGAGTCGAACCGAACTTGATGTTCGGATAGAGGCCTTTCCGAATCCACACATCCCGGTGGTTGAAAGAAAATGATTTGATTTTGATCGTCAATATCGTTTCATCCACTTGGTCCTTGTCCTTTTCGATATTCGGCTTCGGGATCTCGAATGGGATTTCTTTGATCTGTATTTCGTGCCAGACTGACGAAGCTTTAGTGGCAGTACCGTCCGCGACAGGAGATGTTTCTACAACTTGGACAGATTTCTGAGTCTTTGGTAGCTCGATCATCTCTTCTTGTTTCGGTCGAGATGTGAGTTCGTTTTTTGAGGATTATGTGGATGTGTGTGAATCAGACTATAAAATGTGCAGATGTGCGGCTGCGATCGGTCACTCTGCGGGGGCACATAGACCACTCTTTGAGAGCTTACATCATCTCACAGCTAAATAATTGCACAGATTAGTGAGGGTCAAGAGTTCAGGTTAGCTAGGCTGGTTTTTGTCATTTGTCCTACATGCTTTTGAAGCATGCCCAAGAGTAAGACTAATGAATACTTTTATACAAAAAATGGCAAGAAATAGTACAGTGATTTTATAATATTATGACTTGGACGAGAACGATGGGAGTATATCATCCAACTCCCAATCTTCATTAACTTCGGCCACTTCCGGACTACTGCCGGTGTGTGTAGTAATCTGGTGCCACTTTTTCATGTCAAACATACGATCAATGTGGTTTACGGGAGTGGCAGCAGCTGTATCAAGCTTAATGTGTTCGCGATCTGGGCCCAGAGTTGGGACAATTGGTGGATGGATCTTCATATCTTGTAGCAAGTGGTATCTGATTTGACATAACTTTCCTAAAGCCACCAGCGAGAGCTTATCCTGGACTCCAGGTTTCGAAATTATCGAGCGCAGGCCATCAACACCAGAGGCATGGGGAACGATTGTGAAAACTGTGATTGCAAATCGTCTTAAGGTGCTGGTCTGTGGTGAATCCGGTACAGATATCCAATGTGGTAGAGCCTTGATGTCAAACGGTGAGCCTGGCGCATGATCATCACACATTAGTACAATTAAGATGTCTCGTGGTGAGAAAAAAAAAAAAAAAGAGGGGAGGGGGGCATACTCTCAGGTCGAAAGGTAAACGGATGGAGATTGCTGTGATATCGAGCCAGTTGCTCGCGGATCGAAATGGCATCGCTCCGTGTAAATCTCCAATATTTCGCCACTTGAAGAACCATCCGAGTGATCTCCTCGAGTGAGAGCTTGAGCACACGACGATAGACTGGATGAAGGAAGAACCCGATGATATAGATGCTATCAAGGAAGATAGCACTCTGGCGATGTATCATCCGGATGCAATGCACTTTGAGCTGTAGATTTTTCGGATTGATCGAAGCATCCAAAACCGACTGGTAAATAGTGAGGATGACCGTCCAAATATCTGATAGGTTCATATCGGGACTTTCCAAAAGACGGAGCCCATCGACTATTGGCTTGAGTAGTGCAATAAGAGATGTATTGGCCTCGAAGTGATTGGGTTCAATCAGCTTCAAGATGTATTCAGGTAATCGAGGCAAGTTGAATGATGGGTCATTTGACACATCTCGACAGTCCTCAAAGCCGCCCCTGTTCAGATGAACAACCTCGCAGACTTTTGAGATTGAAAACCAGCGATTGCCACTTGCGGTCTGGAGGCCCGGTTGGATGCCGTGGTCCTTCTGCCATGCCTCAATATAGCTGCTCCAGTAGTCATTTGATACAAAATATTCCACTAGCGTCTTGTTGCCCTCAACGATCGTATGCGCCATCGTATTCGACAGGAGGTCGTTGGCCATTAGATTGAAAGCATGCTGGATACACTGGATCTTGAGAATCTGAGAATGCTCAGTTCTCAAAAGATTCTAAGACAAGATGAATTAGAATAGTGACCATACTCTTCACTGTCTTGTACATACAACTATTTAAAACCACTCACCTGAAATTCTATCATAAGTGGAGATGAAGTGGTTACAATTGCGCATGCCTTTTCGATATCAACACACCTTTCTGAGAGACTCTGCTTGACGGAGGATATGATATTTCGTGCGTCATGTTGTTGCCGGTGAAAGTATAGAACATCAATAAAAAATCGACTTTGAGGGCCTTTAAGAACTATCAGCGCATAGACCGAATTCCCAGCGACATCGGTCCACCCGTCCAAGGAAAGCGTAATATTGTCGAGATCCAGAATGCGATTAATTGTTTTGGCCTCGAGATTGGCATGGACTTTAGATAGAGTGTGTGTGGCCATTTTACCGTGCCGAGGTATTTCAAAGCCGGGACCAGCAATCTCATGCTGGTATTGTTGGAAGTACGGATTCTCTAAGAGACTGAAGGGAACGGCAGAGCTGATCATGGCGCTAAGAAGCAGTGAGTGGAGTCTTTCAATCCGTTCCGAATCAAAACTAGTGGAGGCAGGTTGTGTGTCGGCATGGGCCTGGCTGCTTGATCCGGCCTCGTCGGAGGGGCGCGGGCGCTTGGGAGGAGGGCCGAGGGCAGAACTGCTCTGGTCGAATTCATCGGATGACAACTCATCAATTCTTGGGTGATCAGTCTCGGAGTCAGATTCCCCCTCGGATGAAAGGGTGCCGAGATTGAGGAGATACCTGTGCCTATTGGCCGATGGAATTTCGCGGCATACCTCCTTGATGTGCTTGAAGAGTCGTTGAGGTTTTCCCGAAACAAAGACTTTATTACAGTAAGTGCACTTTGCTTGCCGGTATTTAGCATTCGGGTTTCTTGGGTGGCTAATCAGGAAGCCACTCCATCGGAGGCCATGGGCCGGGGTCGGCCTGATCCAATCGAACTCGAACGATTGGGACGCCAGCTTGCTTGAATTTACTATTGGTGTCAATTTGAGAGAGAACGGTGTACGGTGGGCTATAAGCAACTCCAGGGGATCAAGGGACGGCAGCACTAGTGCAGTATGTAGACACTAGTGGAGGAAAAGTAGACGGTTTCCGGCCGAGGGCGAGCGGTGTAGGGGGGTTGGGTACTGGTGGGGGTGGGGGTACAAAATATCTAGACCAAGGGAAAATATTACATAAAACCAAGATAAGATAACCTATTGACCAAATCCAACACACTCCTACATACTCTACCATGTCTCTCTCCATATAAACTGACAAGCTGGGAGCAATCATCAATCATATTTACATCTTACACTCAGAAACAGACTGTTGCCAATACCACACCTCCTCTGCATAGCATGGGCAGATGGCCGAGTGGTCTAAGGCGCTAGTTTTAGGTTCTCCTCTCCAACCAGAGGTCCAGAATCACTAGTCTTCGGGCGTGGGTTCAAATCCCACTCTGCTCAGAATACTTTTAATCTTTTGGTGGAAGTAATGGAGCCCAACTCCAAATTATGTTGGTTATTGTTGTTTTTCCTAGTGATGAATTGAATTACATGGAGCAACAATGAAACGATGTGATGCGTGCATCGGCATCACATCATTGGCATCACATTGAGAAATTGATGTGATGCCAATATTATCGGCAGGCATCACCTGAACCTCCCTCTGGAGTCCCTTGACATGAGGCAGGGACTCAGGAGGGGTTGTACTCACTGATCTGAGGGCAAGTCACTCTGAGTGAGTCGCGGCCTCAATTTGAAAACACCCTGGAGCTGACTCCAAGTCCGACTCAAGTCTTTAATTGATTCCAAATCCTAATCTATACATGAGGCTACTGAGTACAGCATCCAAATATTGCTTGGATTCAGAACTCCCCTTGTTCAGGCCTTGACTCGCAAAGGCCGTTATCCATTGGACAAACCGGCTTGTCAGCCTGAGGGACCTCAATCCCCAATTGATCAGCGTCGGAGTTGGACCACAAGCTCATCAATATGTCCTTATTCAACTCGCAGTGAGGTACCAATCAATCAAAAACTTGTTGGACCTCACCGCTTGGCACTACCCCCCCCCCCACACCATCACCCAAACAAACTCCTCAGACCGCTACAGATTCATCATCACACCCACCTCCATCCTACTTGATCACCTCTTCCTACTCTACTCAATCACCAAACTATCATCAGTTAAGGTAACTCAACTTCCCCACCTCTAATACATATTTCATACATCATAAAACTCATCCTTCATCTTTTACCCTATCAATTTTCCATTCTTATTTTATTTTGTTTTCCATCCTTTTTTTTTTGTAAATACATAGCTCTTTTGACCTGATGTGTCCGATACGGGCAATAAATACATGCATCACATCAGTTTGCCAATGCGACACCGATGTGATGCATTGCTTGACCAATGCAATACCAATACAAGGCAATTTATTGCATTGTATTGCATCATTTCATCGTTGCATGGAGTAAAACTTTTTTTATAAGTAAAAAAAATGAAAGAAAGAAAATGCAAGATGTGTTAATTTGATGATGGTGGTGATAATGATATAGGCATGTTTTTTTTTTACAGGCAATTTTCTTTTTGGGATTAATACAAGAAGTGTACAGTGGGTGGACCGTTATTTTTGGCTGCTTGTTTTGGGTTCTACAACTCCAAAGCACAAACTTCAAGTCACAAGACTTGGTGAATTGGTGCAGAATAGGTCCCCAAGGATGAATATGAAAAAACAAAAAAATAAAACAAAGTTTCAAAATTTGTGAAAAATAAAAAATAAAAATGTTTTTTCCAAAAGCTTTGTTATTGATTTTGGGGGAGTGGGACTCAGTTCTGAGAGAAAGAAAGAGTGGAACATGGCAAGAAGGATTATAAATGAAAAAAAATTGGAACCAAAAAAGGGTGAGCCAGGTTGGCTGTCCAGATTGGACCCAAAACAGTAAATTCTAGTGCTTTACTACAATGTGTGCTGGTGAATGCCCTACTTAACAGCTGTTTAAAACCAACTGGTAACCATTTTCTTTAGAATTTTCATTTATAATCATTCTTCCCATTGGAAATTCTTTCTTTCTTCCAGCACTCACACTCCCCCAAAATGAATAGTAAAGCTTTTGGAAAAAAAATATTTTTATTTTTTATTTTTCACAGATTTTGAAACTTTGTTTTTTGTTTTTATTTTTTCATATTCATTCTTTGGGACCTATTCTGCACCACTTCACCAATTCTTGTGACTTCAAGTTTGTGCTTTGAACCTCTGGAATCCAAAACAAGCAGCCAAAAATAACGGTCCACCCACTGAACTTCAAACAAATACTTTTTGTGGTGGTGGTGGTGGATTGATGATAAAGATACAACAAGATGGTGTTTATTTGATCTGTACAGTGGGTTGACAGAACAATCCAAACACCGCTTGCAGGTGTCACCCCCTGTGACACTTGGGTGTACTGGCTACACCTCCTGAGTTGGTCATTGGCAATGACCTGTTGACCATAACTTTTCCAAATCCTTTTGTTTTATTGATATCAAAAGTAAGTCGTTTTTTTTCCTCTTCTTAACTAACTTTCTTTTGTGCTCAGGATGGTCCAAACAAAACCTGATCAACTTTTGATGGAGACAAAGGCGATGATTGTAGGGATGGCAAGGGCAGGCAAGAGCCTTGCCTACCTCTCTCTCAAGAGTTTGGAACCGCAAGATCGACCCTTTCAGGGATCATCAACCGCTGGAAGGATCACAGAACCAAAGAATCAAAACCCCTGACTGGTTGACCTCTGCTTACCACTGAGCACAACAAATGACGAATCCGGCAAGTCCTTGACAATCAGCGCCGGGCCCCAATGAGGGAGATTGTGGAGCAGCTGGCGACTCCAATATCAATGCAAACCACTCAATGATGTGCTCACAAGCTTGGGTACCAAAATCAAAGGGCCATCAAGAAGCTGTTTGTTAACAATAAGCAAGCAGCTAGGAGGCTTGCCTTTGCAACTGCTCACCTCAATTGGACTGTTGATAATTGATGCTGTAAGACTCAAAAGTGGTTGTGAAACCCTTTTACTGAATAGAGAAGGGGATGGTGGAGTTGCAAGCTCTGCCCTTATATGTTGTCAGAAATACAAGACCATCAAGCTTAGCTTGGCAGTTATATTTATCGTGATAGAGGATAGTTCAAGATGAAGCTTCCGAGTGATGTGTATAAGGGTCTGAAGTTATAAATGAATGATGATTATATTGATGAAGCTGTTGTTCAAAGCTTTAAAACCAAGGCCCAGAGCTCTGGGAGCGCTATGCTAGGTTATGGGCACTTGGCACTTGTTATGATGATGAAAGTGTTATGTTTGTATTTCAATATAATATATTGTTATGGCTGTCACTTGTACATAATCTGTAATGTGGGTTGAGATGATCTGGTCCTCTGGTGGGATGATGGAGGGAGCAACTGGCAGGAAGAGGCCTCCTTATATAGACAAATGTGAGGGATTTTAGCCCCAGGGTACAAGCTTTTGAGGCATTTTAGCTGGCCTGAAGATCCAATGAGGGATTTTAGCTGGTCTAATACATGCAGGTGAGGGATATTGGCTGGTGAGAGCACTGCCTTGAGGGATTTTGGCTAGCCTACAAGGTCCTACTACAAAGGAATGCATGTGTGCCTACAAAGGAATTCAATATGCACTATGAGCCAATAAAGGAATTCAATAAAACAAAAAGGAATCGAATATTCAATATGCATCCAGTATGCAAAACAAGCCATCCTGAGAGTATAGAATCCAAAAGATATCCCGTGATAGGTTGAAATCTGTGTAACTTCTAAACTATGAGAGATATGGGGTCAGGTGTAGTGAGTGACTATGGGTAATTTTACCTGAGAATTCCATTTGTGATTTTATTTTTACCATATATATAATATATAAAGAGATAATAATAAATGTTTATATTTTTCTGCGTAGAAGCACAGTATTATTCACCACAGCGCTTGGTACTCTGGACTAGAGATCGTTCATTGGTACCCATTGTGAGGTACCTAGTACCGCTTGGCGGGTACCGCCCACACCCGCCAGGCGGTGCCGGGTGCCAGTTTTTTGGCACAAAAAGGGGAGGTACCCGGTGTAAGACTCAAAAGTGGTTATGAAACCCTTTTGCTGAATGGAGAAGGGTATGTTGGAGTTGCAAGCTCCGCCCTTCTATACTATCAGAATAACAAGACCACCAAGCTTAGCTTGGCAATTTTATATATAGTGATAGGGATAAGTTTGAGATGAAGCTGCCGATTGATATGTGTGAGAATATAAAGATGTTATTGACTGTTGGTTATATTGATGAAGTTGTTGTTGATGAATATGGTTCAGGGCACTTTTGGTTTATGATGATGATGAAAGTTTTAAATCTGTATTTCAATGTGTATAAAACTGTAATTGTAATGTGGCTATGACTTGTAGTTATGAAATAATATATAAGATGGATTTATTTATAAGGGTGGTTGAGATGATCTGGTCCACTGGTGGGATGATGGAGGGAACAGCTGGCAGGCAGAGGCCTCCTTATATAGACAAATGTGAGGGATTTTGGCCCCAGGGTACAGGCTGAAAGATACTCCTACAAAGGGATGCATATGAATGAATAAAGGGACGCATATGTATGATCAAAGGGATGCATACATGCAATATCACTAATACAAAGGGATTCAAAATAACGTAAAGGTATTCAATTTCCTACAAAGGAATTCAGTATGCAATATGCATCCTGTAATATATTCATAATGAATATGGCTAGAGTGAAGAATCCAGGAAATACCCCGTGACAGGTTGAAATCTGTGTAACTTCTAAACTATAAGAGATAAAGGTATGGTTGTAGTGAGTGACTAGGGGTTATTTTACCTGAGGATTCCATTTTTGATGTCAATTTGACCATATCTTGAATGAATAAAGAGATAATAAGAAATTTTTTTTATTTTCTGCATAGAAACACAGTATTATTCACCACACCGGGTACCGCCCCCATGAGTCTTGACCGGAAGGGTTTATTTCTGGTCGATGAGGTAGATGTACCTCATCAATCGGAGGGGTTTCCTTCCACTTGATGAGGTACATGTACCTCGTTGAACGGAAGGAAACCCTTCCAGTCAGGGAGGTACATCTACCTCGTTGACCGGAAGAGTTTCCTTCCCGTCAACGAGGATGTACCTCGTTGATCGGAATGAACCCCTTCCGATCAACCTGGCCGGGAGGCTGGGGTTCCCCCCAGCCTCAAGGCCATTTTTTTTCTTTTTTTCTTTTTTTTTTCTTTTTATTTTTTTTTATTTTTTTTTTCTGTTCTTTTCTTTTTCCTTTTATTATCTTTTCCCTTTTCTTTTCTTTTTTGTTTCTTTTTTTCAGCAATTACAAACAGTTTTTTTTAAAATTCTTTTCAATTGTTTTTGACTTTATATTTTTTATGTTTTTAAAATAAAATGATAGTCACAAACAATCTCCC